GGATGGGAGGAGAGAGAGACGGGGGGAAGGGAGGGAGAGAGGAGTGGCAGGGGTGGAAGGAAGTAAGGGGGGGGAAGGAAGTAAGGGTGGGAGGGAGGGTGGAAAGAAAGGGTGGGAGGGGTGGAAAGAAGGGGGAGAGGGGGGGGAAAGAAGGGTGGAAAGAAAGGGTGGGAGGGATGGAAAGAAGAGGGGTGGAAGGAAGGGAAGGAAGTTTGGGAGGTGTGGGGGGAAGAGAGAGGGGGGGGGGGGGCAAAGGAGTTGTGGAAGGGAGGTGTGCAAAGAACGGAGGGGTGGGGAAAGGGAGGGAAGGACGGAAGGGTGGAAGGAAGAGAGGGGGGGGGGGAAAGTGAGCAATGGAAGGAATGGTTCGAGGGGTGCTAAGGAGGGGGGAAGGAAGGGAGGGAAGGAAGAAAGAGTTCGAGGAGTGGGAGGAAGGAAGGGAGGGAAGAAAGAGTGGGGGGGGTGAGAGCGAGGGTGGGAGGAAGAGAGAGAGGGGGAAGGGGAGGGAGGGGAGGAGTGGCAGGGGTGGAAGGAAGTAAGGGTGGGAGGGAGGGTGGGGGGAAAGGGTGGGAAGGACAGAAGGATGGAAGGAAGAGAGGGAGGGGTGGAAGTGAGCGATGGAAGGAATGGTTTGAGGGGTGCTAAGGAGAAGGGAGGGGAGGAAGAAACAGTTCGAGGAGTGGGAGGAAGGGTGGGAAGGAAGGGAGGGAAGGAAGAGTGGGAGGGGTGAGAGCGAGGGTGGGGAGGAGGAGAGAGATGGGTGGAAGGGAGGGAGAGAGGAGTGGAAAGGAGGGGTGGAAGGTATGGAAGGAAGGGGTGGAAGGAAGGCAGGAAGGGGTGGAAGGAAGGGAGGTCACACACATGACTCAGCCAGATGCATCAGAGCTGTCAGCTGCTCTGTGTTCAATTTCCCACCCACACATCCTCTGAAGCTGCATGGACTGAAGTGTGGGTGGGCACAGGGGGAGGCAGAGCAGATCCAGCCTCTCGGCCCTCTTCTTCTATTGGTGTGGAGAAAGGGGGAGGGGCTGGGAACTGAGGAGCACACAGTGGGGGGAATAGGGGGCAGAAAGAAAACAGAACATTCGGGGATGATCTGTGCAGCAGTGGGGTCAGTGACAAGCAGGGATCTCCTGTATGACTCTCAATGAAGCGGCTGGAAGCTGCTTCTCTTCCTCTCCCTCCCGCAGCTTCCAGCTGCTTCATTAAAAGTCATACAGGGGATCGGTGCTTGTCACTGACCACACCACCGCCCCTCCCACACACCCCTAGTCCCGGTGCTGCTCACCCCCATCTTATTTCCACTAATCTAATGAGAGCGGGCAAGTGGAAATTTCAAGGGCTGTTACTAAATCTGTGCATATCATCCCAACTACTTACAGTATCCAGGTGAGTTATCTCTTATAATGGATCCTGTATGTATACAATGTATTATACAGTTGCAAGAAAAAGTATGTGAACCCCTTGGGATTACGTGGAGTTTTGCATGAATTGGGCATAAAATGTGCTCTGAACATCATCTAAGTCACAACAATAGAAGAACACAGTCTGCTGAACATAATACTACACAAACATTAGATGTTGCCATGGTTTAATTGCACATAACATGTAAACATTCACAGTGCAGGGAGGAAAAAGTATGTGAGGCCCTAGCTTAATGACTTCTCCCAGAGCTAATTGGAGCCAGGAGTGAGCCAACCTTGACTCCAATAAGTGTGATGATATTGGATGTGTTGCTGACAGCTGCCCTGCCCTTAAAAAACACACACCTGTTTTGGGTTTACTGGTTTCAAGAAGCACTGTCTGATGTGAACATGCCTCGCAGAAAAGAGCTCTCAGAAGACCTACCATCAAGAATTGTTGACTTGCATGAAGCTGGAAAGGGTTACAAAAGTATCCCCAAAAGCCTTGATGTTCATGTTTCCACGGTAAGACAGACTGTCTACAAATGGAGAAAGTTTAGCACTGTTGCTACTCTCCCTAGGCGTGGTCATCCTGTAAAAATGACTGCAAGAGCACAGCGCAGAATGCTGCATGAGGTAAAGAAGAATCCCAGAGTGTCAGCTAAAGACCTGCAGAAATCACTGGCACATACTTTTTCCTCCCTGCACTGTGAATGTTTACATGTTATGTGCAATTAAACCATTGCAACATCTGATGTTTGTGTAGTATTATGTTCAGCAGACTGTGTTCTTCTATTGTTGTGACTTAGATGACGTTCAGAGCACATTTTATGCCCAATTCATAAAATGAATTGGGCATAAACTCCACAGAATCCCAAGGGGTTCACATACGTTTTCTTGCAACTGTATAATGGTTCCTGTATGTATGCAATGTATTATACAGTAGAATGGATCCTGTATGTATACAATGTATTATATAACGGATTCTGTATGTATACAATATATGATATAATAGATCCTGTATGTATACAATGTATTATATAATGTAGTCTGTATGTATAATATAATGTACCCTGTATGTATACAATCTATGATTTAATGGAACCGGTCTGTGTACAACGTATTATAGAATGGATCCTGTATGTACACAATGTATTATATAATGGATCCTGTCTGTACACAATGTATTATAGAATGGATCATGTATGTATACAATGTATATTATAGAATGTATTCTGCATGTATATTATTTTATATACCGTAATGGATTCTGTATGTATACAATGTACTATAGAATGGATCCTGTATGTATACAATGTATGATATATGGATTATGTATGTATACAATGTATTATAGAATGGATCCTGTATGTATACCATGTATATTATAGAATGGATCCTGTCTATACACAATGTATTATATAATGGATCCTGTATGTATATAATATATATTATTTTATATACCGTAATGGATCCTGTATGTATACAATGTATATCATGTGTATTATAGAATGGATCCTGTATGTATGAATATGGATGTGTATTATATAGAATGGATCCTGTATGTATACCATGTATATTATAGAATGGATCCTGTATGTATACAATGTACTATAGAATGGATCCTGTATGTATACAGTGTATATTATAGAATGGATCCTGTATGTATACCATGTATATTATTTTATATACCAGTAATGGATCCTGTATGTATACAATATATTACAGAATGGATCCTGAGGAATAGCTGGGAAGGTAATACGGACATCTATTCTTTGAAATGTAACAAGAAAAAAGTGGTGGAGGGAGCCTAGGCATTGATGACTCTGGTATTGACCAAACAGGTGGGTGTCTCCACAAAATAAACTGCCAATGAAAAGAAGAATATTGGAGACAGACTCCATCTATTAAGCTACTGAGCAAAACAAAAGTTTAAAAGGAGTTTATTAAAAATTATATAAATATGTATCCAGAACAAAAATACAAAACATATATGCAGAAACACCATATTCCCATCAATGCTCTCCCCCCTCCCTCCCAAAACACCCAAACAAAAGAAAGATACTAATGAATCTGAAAGAACCACATACCCCACCACCAAAAGAAACCCTCCATGTAGTAAAAAAAACATAGACCTTCCATAAACCCACAGCAGGAAACACTCTCCAAGCCAACAGCTGCCACCCGTGGCCACTGATTCGAAGTATCCCTGTTAGCCAATGCCTAGGGGCCCACAAAAGTTGTGTTGATACCAATGACAACCACTGTGAAAGTAGAGCCCTTAAATACAGGTTTAAAGCGCGCGGGTATCCAAACTCAGTACTTAGGAGGAGTATCTTCCTGATAGCTTTGGCCAAAAATAGATCCGATAATTTGACCAATACTAAAGATGAAATTAAAGAGACAGAGACTGGGGGTCACCACGTGTTATGGTGCCCATTGGAATGCATTAGGTTTATTTTCAGAAAAACATTGCCCGACAATGTTGGACAAAAGATTGGAGCACATTTTAGGTCATAGACGACTTAACTGTAAAGAGCTCCCACCCTGGGGGATATGCCAATCACAACAGATGTGTCCCTTCGTACTTATCAAGTTTTGTCTTTAGTAAGCCATCTTGTGGTATGTTTAGGTGTGGCCATTGTTCAGTGTGTAAATTTGTCCACAAAACAAATGTCTTTTGGGACTCAGCTTTACAATATGTTCTTTCTTCTCTCCACTAGTCTTCTCTTTTTGTTGATATCCAGCATTTGACCAATGGAAAGCCTAGACTTGTGGCCAGCCAGGCCTAAATGGCATTGTCAAAAGTAACACATAAAACAGATAGGGAAAATCTTGCAATAGGAGATGTGGACTAGATGGGTTTTTCCTGGAACCCTCAAGCTCCACTGATGTAACAATTGCCATTCGGAGACCTCTTCCAACAAGGTTGCAGAGACTTGGTAATAGGCCACTTGACTACACTCCAGTCTTTGGTACTGAGGAGGAGTTATTAATGTATTAGCTCAGGATCTGGAAATGGAAGAAACACTTGGGAACGCAGGCCAATTAACGTATGATGCAAACATAATGTGTATTCAAATACATGCAGGAGGAAAAAAAAAAAAAAGAAAAAACACAAGGAAAACATAATTCAGGCATTGATGCTTTTCCAAAAAGTATCTCAAAAGTTAAAGTATTTAAAGGCTTTTTAGGTTTGTGCCTGATGGATATAAGCACTAAACTCCATGCATTGGTCCATTTCATTCTGGTATACTCATAGCTTGTAGTAAGTTTATTACTTGAAGTAGCATTATATTGTTTCATCTTCCCAATCACTTGTGAGATGACGTGGGGTGTGAAATTGCTGAGACACCCCAAACCCTTTCAGATTTGCTTGTCAGCTTTAACACTCTTCTTTCTTCCAGAGTTCCCTCTCTTTAGCTGAAAATCAAGACTGTGAACCCTCTGGTGACTGATAAGCTGTACCCCCTGTGTAAAAGCTTTATCACATTCAGAACACTGGTATGGCCTCTCTCCAGTGTGAATCCTCTGGTGTGTGATAAGATGTGATTTCACTACAAAGGTTTTATTACATTCCAAACATTGATATGGCTTCTCTCCAGTATGGACCCTCTGGTGCTTGGTAAGCTGTTCCCCCTGTGTAAAAGCTTTTCCACATTCAGAACACTGATATGGCTTCTCTCCGGTGTGATTCCTCTGGTGTGTGATAAGATGTGACTTCATTGCAAAAGCTTTATTACATTCAGAACATTGAAATGGCCTCTCTCCAGTGTGGACCCTTTCATGTATAATCAGCTGTTCCCTTACTCTAAAAGCTTTGCCACATTCAGAACAGTGATATGGCTTCTCCCCCGTGTGATTTCTCTGGTGTACAGTAAGGTTTGCCTTGCCTGTAAAAGCTTTGCCACATTCAGAACACTGATACGGCTTCTCTCCTGTGTGAATCCTCTGGTGTTTGATAAAGCTTGACTTCTCTGTAAACGTTTTGCCACATTCAGAACACTGATATGGCTTCTCTCCAGTGTGAATCCTCTGGTGTATTAAAAGCTTTGACTTGACTCTAAAAACTTTGTTACACTCAAAACATTGAAATGGTTTCTCTCCAGTGTGAATCCTCTGGTGTCTGATAAGATGTTCCTTCCGTTTAAAAGCTTTGCCACATTCGGAACACTGATATGGCTTCTCTCCAGTGTGAATCCTCTGGTGAGAGGAATAAGATGTGACTTCTGTGTAAAAACTTTGTCACATTCAGGACATGAGTACAGCTTCTCTCCAGTGTGAACTCTTTGGTGACTTAAAAGCTGTGAGTTGAATGTAAAAACTTTGTCACATTCAGAACACTGATATGGTTTCTCTCCAGTGTGACTCCTCTGGTGTGTGATAAGATGTGACTTCACTATAAAAGCTTTATCACATTCAGAACACTGATATGGCCTCTCTCCAGTGTGAATCCTCTGGTGTATTATAAAATATGACTTTCTTGTAAAGTATTTGCCACATTCAGAACAATGATGTGACTTCTCTCCTGTGAGAACCTTCTGGTGTCTGATAAGGTTTTCTTCCATTGGAAAACGTTTGTGACAATACAAATCTTCTGTCCAGTGTGATGTCTCCTATGTATACTTGGGTTGGACTTTACTGTAAAGCCATTTTCACTTCCAGAACACTGAAATGACTTTGCTCCTGTTATCCTCCGAGGGTGGATCAATGTTGAAGAGGATCCAAAACATTTAGAAAACGGATATGTCTTGTGTCCTGTATGAATCCTCCAGTGAAGTGTAGTAAAGTCTCTCAGAGCACCATACGACTTGTCTCCAATGTGACTCAGTAGTACTTCTGAAGACCAACAATCATCTGTCAATCCACCTGTAGAAAGAGAAACAATAAAATGAAAAGCCAGCGTTGTACGAGTATGGCTAAATCAAAGTTGCTTCGTATGTTTAAATTTCATGATTGAATATATTTAATACATTGAGCTTGTAGTATTTATGTTTAAATGTTTGTATTGTATGTTATAGAGGACACCATATTCCCATTAGCTGGTATAATAGAGCACCTATTACAATATTCTGCAGGAGAATATCATTCCTTGGTCTCATTCAGAGCATTGTGCTGCCTTTCTAGAACAGGACAGGAGAAATCAGAAGCACCGTTTTCTAGTCCTGACAAATTAGCACCGTGAGGATTTTGAATGGCAACTGTTTGGGTTTCAACTCATTTACCTCCTGGCACAGGATGAGGTGAGTACCTAATATGACCTAAAGTGTTATTAAACCCTAACATTTACTGCAGCTTACCTCAGTACATACCTTGTGTGCTGCTTCTGCTTCATGTTCTTTACAATATTGCAGTTTCCCAGTGTTTGTGTGCTCCATTGCTTTCCTGGGTCCTAAGGAACCACAGTTACATGGGCACTCCTGGAATAGGGACTCCAAGCTGAGCCTAGGATACTGCCCACACCAAAATGCACAGACAGTGAGCTAGGACTGACACGGCTCTCATGAGCAGAAGTCATGGTGGTGGAGGAATTGTGGGACATCTATTACTGAGGAGGGGGAACAGGGTGACGAGTGTGCACTCTCTTCAGCAGAAGTTCAGGAAAACAGTGCACAGGAACCTGGAGACTGGTGTGACAAAAGCATCATGCCAGTGTTTCTGGACATTTCCTAAAAAACATTTATTCTTCATGGTACATCACAGGACAGGACTGGTTTAGCCCAATGGGTTATGGTCTACCTCCAGGTCAGGGTCTTGAATTCCAATTCATGGAGGTCCAGTCAGTAAAATCTTCTTAATCTCTTGTTTGCACTATAACACAACAAAGCCCCCCTGTACATCAGTGTCTTCAGCCTATACTTCACATCACAGTCCCCTTTACATCGCTGTCCCCTCTGTCCTCAGTCCCCCTTCACATCACGACCCCCCTCTAAATTACAGTCTCCCCTTTACATCCATTTCCTCAGCCCTTATAAATCATAGTCTTTCCTTTACATTCGTTCCCTCAGCCCCACTTCCACATCACAGTCTCCCCTTTACATCCATTTCCTCAGCCCCCCTTTCACATCACAGTCTCCCCTTTACATCCATTTCCACAGCCCCCCTTCTACATCACAGTCTCCCCTTTACATCCATTTCCTCAGCCCCCCTTTCACATCACAGTCTCCCCTTTACATCCATTTCCTCAGCCCCCCTTTCACATCACAGTCTCCCCTTTACATCTGTTTCCTCAGCCCCCCCCTTCTATATCATAGTCTCCCCTTTACATCCATTTCCTCAGCCCCCCTTCCACATTATCGTTATTCCTTTACATCTGTTTCTTCAGCCCCCCTTCTACATCATAGTCTTTCCTTTATATCCATTTCCTCAGCCCCCCTTCCACATCACAGTCTCCCCTTTACATCTTTTTCCTCAGCCCCCCTTCCACATCACAGTCTCCCCTTTACATCTTTTTCCTCAGCCTCCCTTTCACATCACAGTCTCCCCTTTACATCTGTTTCTTCAGCCCCCCTTCTAAATCATAGTCTTTCCTTTACATCCATTTCCTCAGCCCCCCTTCTAAATCATAGTCTTTCCTTTATATCCATTTCCTCAGCCCCCCTTCCACATCACAGTCTCCCCTTTACATCCATTTCCTCAGCCCTTCTAAATCATAGTCTTTCCTTTACATTCGTTCCCTCAGCCCCCCTTCCACATCACAGTCCCCCCTTTACATCCATTTCCTCAGCCCCCCTTTCACATCACAGTCTCCCCTTTACATCCATTTCCTCAGCCCCCCCTTATAAATCATAGTCTTTCCTTTACATTCGTTCCCTCAGCCCCCCTTCCACATCACAGTCTCCCCTTTACATCCATTTCCTCAGCCCCCCTTCCACATTATCGTTATTCCTTTACATCTGTTTCTTCAGCCCCCCTTCTACATCATAGTCTTTCCTTTATATCCATTTCCTCAGCCCCCCTTCCACATCACAGTCTCCCCTTTACATCTTTTTCCTCAGCCTCCCTTTCACATCACAGTCTCCCCTTTACATCTGTTTCTTCAGCCCCCCTTCTAAATCATAGTCTTTCCTTTACATCCATTTCCTCAGCCCCCCTTCTAAATCATAGTCTTTCCTTTATATCCATTTCCTCAGCCCCCCTTCCACATCACAGTATCCCCTTTACATCCATTTCCTCAGCCCCCCTTCTACATCACAGTATCCCCTTTACATCCATTTCCTCAGCCCCCCTTCCACATCACAGTCTCCCCTTTACATCTGTTTCTTCAGCCCCCCTTCTACATCACAGTCTCCCCTTTACATCTGTTTCTTCAGCCCCACTTCTACATCACAGTCTCCCCTTTACATCTGTTTCTTCAGCCCCACTTCTACATCACAGTCTCCCCTTTACATCCATTTCCTCAGCCCCCCTTCTACATCATAGTCTTTCCTTTATATCCATTTCCTCAGCCCCCCTTCTACATCACAGTATCCCCTTTACATCTGTTTCCTCAGCCCCCCCCCTTCTACATCATAGTCTTTCCTTTATATCCATTTCCTCAGCCCCCCTTTCACATCACAGTCTCCCCTTTACATCTGTTTCCTCAGCCCCCCCCCCCCTTCTACATCAGTCTTTACATCCATTTCCTCAGCCCCCCTTTGACATCATAGTCTCCTTTACATCTGTTTCCTCAGCCCCCCCTTCTACATCATAGTCTCCCCTTTACATCCATTTCCTCAGCCCCTCCCCTTCTACATCATAGTCTCCCCTTTACATCCATTTCCTCAGCCCCCCTTCTACATCATAGTCTCCCGTTTATATCAGTTTCCATAGCCCCCCTTCCACATATTACTGTAGCTCCCCCTTTGTATCATTATCCTCAGTCCTTCTTCCATACTATAGACCCCTCTTTACAGCAGTGTCTCCAGCATCTCTTTACATCACAATCTGCCTCTACATCACAGTCCTCTAGTTTACATCAGTGCCCTCATTTCCCCTTCCACATCAAAGTCCCCCCTTAACATCAATTTCCTCAGACCCCTTCTACATCATAGCCCCCTCATAACAGCAATGTCCTCAGCCCCCGCTCCACATCATAGACCCCCATTTCACATGTTTCCTCAGCCCCCCTTCCACATCATAGACCCCCATTTCACATGTTAACTCAGCCCCCGCTCCACATCATAGACCCCCATTTCACACGTTTCTTCAGCCCCACTTCCACATCATAGCTCTCCTCTTTACAGCAGTGTTCCTAGTCCCCTTCACATCACAGTCCCCCCATTTACATCAGTGCCCTCAGTTCCCCTTTCGCATCACAGTCCCCCAATTACATCAGTTTCTTCAACCCCCTTCTACATCATAGACTTCTCATAACAGCAATGTCCTCAGCCCCCTCCACATCATAGACCCCCCCATTTCACACGTTTCCTCAGCCCCCCTTCCACATCACAAGTGACCATAACATCCTCTCCACAGTCCCCCTTCAAGGCCAGTTCTCAGTGCAGCGTGATTATCAGTGCATTCATTTGAATGGACTGAAATTGTACAGAGAGTAGTGCATTCACTTGCTGCACCAAATGGCCTGGTACTTCAGTACCATGTGATCCCGTGCAGGAAAAACACGCGTGTGCTTGGGGTGTTGTTAGGAATATATTGACACGCAGCACATCGCATACTCAGGGGGTTTTGAATGCAGTGTGGGAAACTCACTTGGAACGTCCCCCTCCCCCACTTACATCATAATGCCCTCTTTACAGCAGTCCCACAATTCCCTTCACAGTCCCCCTTTATAACATAGCTGTCCCCTTCACATCACAGCCCCCCTTTATAACATAGCAGTCCCCCATCACATCACAGCCCCCCCTTTATAACATAGCGGTCCCCCTTCACATCACAGCCCCCATTTATAACATAGCTGTCCCTTCACATCACAGCCCCCCTTTATAACATAGCTGTCCCCTTCACATCACAGCCCCCCTTTATAAAATGGCTGTCCCCCTTCACATCACAGCCCCCCTTTATAACATAGCGGTCCCCTTCACATCACAGCCGCCCCCTTTATAACATAGCGGTCCCCCTTCACATCACAGCCGCCCTTTATAA